AGTTGCATGTTCGAATAGACACACTTAAAACATTTTTGGCCTTAGAATTTACAATTTGAACATGTTTTTTAGCCTGTCTAAGGAAGTGGACTTTACCATAAATGTGGTGGAATTAAGACCTTTGAACATTTCCTGCCCTGTTTTTCTCTTTATGCTGACTTGCTAAACTTTTCTTTGTTCCTTTAAGTTCTTCTACCTCAAAAGTAGGAAGTACAGAAGTGGAAAGCAACTTTGGTAGATTCCAGTTAATTGACTAGTTTCTTAAATGAACTGAAGGCAGGCAGATAATAATAATAATAAGCATAGAGAGTTCATAATAGCAAAAGGTTGATATTATTCCACAGGGGAGGCAACAGGACTTACATTTTTCCTTTCTAAGGAACAGAAGTAATCTTCTGTCCTTATTTGCATTGTCCTGAAACTTACAGTACCTCCATTCAGCCAAAATTGTCTGTGCTACTTTCTCAACCCTAAATCTGGATTAAAACATCTACAAAGGCTGGTAAGCAGAGATTGGCTTCAGTTTAAGCCCATGTCTGAAGAAATTTTATACACACACACAAATAACATAAAATGATTGTCTTTGCTGAGCTGGAATCAGCTTTTACAAAATTGGCTTGTTTTTTTCTGGAAGTTTTGCACTGTTGTTTTCTGGTAGCATATAGTCTTGTAGTGTACTTGGATGGGGTAAATAAAAGAAGTCTTTTGTGGGTGTGATGTGTAGTTAAAAGCAGTTAAGTGGATAGAAGAGCATTAAATAATGGATGCTGTTTGTACAATATTAAATTCTGGATATAAGCACTAACCCTTCTTTACCTGTTCTTATACTGTGATCTGTTCCCAGGCAAAGGCTTCTGTTATGTGACAAAGTCTGTACTCACTGAGATGTCGTAGTTGTTCCATGACCTGTCACCTGGAAATAAATTTGACAGAGGGCTAATTGCCTTTAATCGTGATAATTCTGTTATCTTACATATTTCCTCTGATCTGATGAACTGGTCTAATAAGGAAACTGATGAGTTAATGAATATAGAAATTTATGGGATATATAGCAATTAAAATGACTGTTACTTTTTTAGGAGAATTATAAAGAAGTGTTCCTTGTGCAGCAGATAACTGTACTGCCACCTGTAAAACTGTGCTTCTAAAGGATTAATCTGTTGAATGAGTAAGGGAAAGCTTGCATCTTAACTGTATGTCATTAACTATTCATCTGCTTCACTGGGATACAGAACATGCTGAGTTTTCTTACATTGTTTAACAGCATTGTAGGCTGTTAAACAGCTACACCAGAAGCAACGTACGGCTGTATTTCAGTAGTACAAATGGGACTGTATGTACTTTTATTCATCTGTGGAATTTAGAATGGGCCAAACAATCTGAGTTCAAGTCCTTAAAAATTCAGAGAAGTTTCAGTTTCACTTTTGTCCTGAACACCACCTCCAAGGAATGCATGTTTATGTCTGTCCAAAAGTACTTTAAATGTAGTCTTCTCTGATAATGTCGTGTCGTTCCCCCCCCCCCCCGCCATGAATTTGGAGAAGGTGATTGTAACCTAAATTGCACCTACCAGAATACGTGTTTTCTGTTGTTAGGTAAGGAATTTAAAGATATTTATCCACTGCAGTACATTAATAACTAGCAGATTATCAGTTAAACAGCATTAAGGTCATTAGTGAACACATCAGAGCAATGAAACCCAGCCTAGATCAGATTGTGAATAAAGACCTTAAAGAGAAACCATATTCTTGTTGCAGTGCCTGAGTGTAAGCATGGAGGTGTATAAACAACTGATAAGAGTTGTGATTCTGCAAGAGTGTAAAACAGCTTCAGACTTAAATTAGGGAAATTTGTCACAAAGAAAAAAAGCGTACTTTCTCTGTATTAGGTATTGGTATGATTGAGTGTAAATTGTTGTGGGTGTCTGACTCTTGTTGCTGCCCATAACACAAGAAGAATGTAGAGCAAGGAGAAGATTTTCAAAAGATCCATGGGTCAGGAAGAAAAGCTTAGTTTATTAATTTAGAGGAGATTATAAAGCGTGTTTAGATGCTTAAAAGAGGTAAAATTACTGGGAATGGAATTTGGTTTCCAAAACTGTAACAAAGTCCTGTGGTAAGAAACTAAAATGAGACAGATTAAACCTTGAAACAAAGCAGGTTCTGCTTCCTGTGAGGGAAGAGATGTACTGGAACATGTTATCAGTGAAGACAGGGGACTCTCATCATTTGGACTCTCACATATTAGGATGTGCTAATTCACTGAAGGGGGCGAAGTTCTGTGGCCTGATAGGTAAAAGTTCAGGCTAATTTCAAGCTTTCTGGCCTTGACATTTGTGACTGAATCCTCCTGCTACGTTATTTGGGGTCTTGAAGAAAACAGGATTCTTCAAATTAACCTCCACGTGTTTGTAAAACTTGCACTTTTCAAGTAAAATAGTGGTTGCAGTTGATTATTAAGCTTCAGGAGGTGTTTAGCACCTTGCCTTCAGAGGCTCAGGAGAGAACTTTTGCCTCCCATGCACGATAGCTTGTTGGGTCCTGGGGTTTTTGTGCTCTGAATATCGGTAACTGATGATACAGAGATTTTATTGCATTGTAATGATACAGGTTGCAAAGAGATTTATCAAGGAATTAGTATATCAGAATAGGATTGAGGAACTGTGTATAAATGAAGATTTTGTTACTCTGGCCATGCAGATGTTATCTACACTAATATGGTACTTCTATAATAATTCTTAAAGTATGGGATGGATCTGTGGATATATGTATTGCATTCTGGGCCAGTTACTGATGCTCACTTAGTATGCTCAAGAATCCATAATTAAATAGCTCTCAGAAATGTTTGTCAGAGCTGTGAGTATAAATTGTAATTTGAAATGTATTTAAAAAAACCTCAATCAAGTCAGGTGTTGGATCAAGGCTGATAGTAGTAACAAAAAGCTCTAAAACTGCTGTTGTCATATCTTTGCTTTAATAAAGTGTCTGCTTTTCCTGCAGGTGATGAATTTTGTTCATGTTTGAAAGCTTTAGCAAAAATCATACTTGTCAGTTTTAGATCTTGCTCCAGTGAGATGAATACTTTCTCCATTGCTTTTTTTTTAATCAGGTGTGAGAAATAACACCCTTGAAGTCCCAATGTAGGAATAAACATATTACTTAGTGAAGAGCACCGCCTACTTTAATGTAACTGGGGGGTGGTGTGAGGGGAAGCAAGGATTTGAGCAAATGGAAAAATCACTGTACGTGCTGTAAGCATGTAGTTTTGGAAATAGACCTTTTTCACTTCACTAGTACCATTTAATTTTCTCTTTGACTTACTGAGTTCCTGGCTGTTATGATAGTTCTGTTAGAAAGGCTGGTAGTTATGGTCAGTGGTTGGAAGTGTTAAGGGTGTTCACTCATATGACTATAGTTGTCTTTAGAATTTTGACCTTATCTGCAGGGGAGAGTTTACCACCACTGGTAGAATTTAAATTGGTTTAGTTCAACTTGATTAAATTGCAGAGTGGACACTGTTACT